AATAATCACTTTTGCATTGTTGTAATAATGTAACAGGTACTGTATTAGGTTTTACGTTTATTGAACCAATCAAAACTGTTATTTACAAAGCAACTACCTTGGTAACGTGTGCATGCAAGACATGCAAGACATGTCTTACCGGGTAAGATCCTTATCTAACTCGATAAGATCACGTTACATTAAAGGGTTTATTAAATAATTTTTTTTTAGTGATTCGCTTGTGACTAATTTCCTCAATTTATTCTAAATTAAAATTAAAATGAATTGTTTAGTAAACTATCCAAAAAAATAAATCTCTACAATCGCCTTATCTGAGATAATAGAGGTATAAAGATAAGTTATCTTCATACCTCCATTACTCACTGAAAATTGTACTTTCATATGAACATTTCTGTTTTCAATAGTATTTGTATTTGTTTTATAGGAATTTTCGACGATTTAAAACGCCACTTTTACCTGTATGTATATTACTGTTGGAAATATCACCTTGCATTGACAACGGTCTAAGTAATAAGAACAAAACTCGGTAAAATGGAGATATTCAATAAGAAGGTAGGCTGCTATATAGTAAGTCATATTTTTCTTAAATTTTTGCAGGCATTTTCACTCGAGAAATATTCTTCCTAAACATCAATCTTGTTTAATAATTAAGTAGATTTCATTCAAGCTTGTTGGAATCATAAACAACTGCGCCCCGAATAATGTTTATGATGAGAAAAAAAATTATACAATCTTTTATTGCAAAATTATAAAAAATGTTGGGGTTACATACCTATAACTAGAAAAATTTATTTTTATACAACTGTTTGTAAATGGAATAAGATTCAATAAACTCCTAATGTTTGTTAGGAAAAGTTAGAGATTAGATCAGAATTTTTTTGATTAAAACGGTGTAATAATATTAAACCGATATGGGAATATGGGATATCAGGTGGCTGGGCCTTGTATAAAAGTTTTTTGCTATAGTTTTTTTTAGGCAATATCACCGTAAAATTTGAAATGAACTATTAAACAACTTTTTTAAAAATAATTTTATATTTTCGATATTTCAAAAGTTACACTCAATATTCCAAACTTTTGAGCCACCCTGTATATGTATGTCGAAAAAAATCTTAATTTTTATTCAAACCTCTTCTACACTTTTAACAGTATTTTACCTCACAAAACACGTCGTTAAATTTTAGGATATAATTTAGAGGTTGCTCTATATAAAGGTTGCACCAACTTGTGCAACCTTTATATAGCGCAACCAAGTATCCTTCTATGTATGAGTATCTTATTTATTTGAAGAGCTAGAAGGTCGACTTAGGCAAAAGTTAGTCGATTTAAAAGACATTTAAAAATTAAAAAATCAGCGGTTCTCAAATAATTAAAAAAAAAACTGAAAACCTGTTAAAACAAAAAATAGTTATAAAATCGTGATTCCTGGAAATTAAAAAAAAGAGTAAGTTTTACATATGTGTAAAATTACAATCGTACACGACTTAACATGTTAATGGTTCAACAGAGAGAAAATTTAAAGCAACTGGTTTAGTTAGTACAAAAATTAAAAACATTGTGGATGAATCAATGGAACATAGTTTTGACCTGTGTGATAAACCACTGTAGGTTTACTGCCAAAATATACTATTTTTGCATGCTTATCTCAAAATTCGCTATACATTTTTATAAATAAATAGGTTTTCGAGACATGAATTATTTTTTTTTCGAAGGTACTTTTACAATTTGGGTCATACCCTGATTCCCAATCAGTTAATAAATTTAATTGAAATAAGCAATATAAAAAAATCGTATTAAGTCAAAAATGAGAAAGCATTATTTACTTTTTTGACAAAAAATATAAATCAATAAAATAGGCCCATTTTCAAATCATCAACTTTACAGGTGTTTTTGAAATAAATCTGTAGATAAGTAGTTATACAGGGTGTTATGTAATTAATGTTATATATTAAAATGGCTAGTTCCTTAGGGTCCACAAAGAAGCACCTGAAACTTTTTTTTCTAAATTCCAAAGACTAAAAATAATTTATAATAACCTTTATCCTACCAAAAAGTATGCCACTGATCGACTAGGAACCGCGGATTAACCTTAGCTATTACATTTTAATGCAGTGTTACCAAATGTAAAATTAAAAATGTATTACCTTATATGAGATGCTCAAAATGATTTCATTATTTAGAATGCAAGCTTAAGCTCTGCGCTGCCCAAATCCCGTCTCTCGTAAATGTGGCATCATCGGTATACAAAACACTAGGTACGGCTCCAATCAGCATCTTCTTGATTTTTCTGTATATACCAATGGCAAAATTCCAACCGCAGTGCATAATCTCCATCCTGAAGAGCTTGAACTTTTTGTAGGTGATAGGGGTACAAACTATTTTCGTGAATCGTGCGCCACGTAACAAAGTTGGACATTTTTCCAAGTTGGGCAGTTAATCGTCTTGTACTAATTCTCGGATTTGCTTCCACTTCGTCCAAAATTTGTTCTTCAAGGGCCACAAATTCACGTCCCTGAGCCCGACCTCTATCACCAACAAATGCGCTAAATCTTCCGCGGTCCCTTAAATTTTGCACAGCACATACAAAACTTTGCTCCGAGGGCGGTGGATGTCCGTCATTGGCGTTGTGATAATTTTGAATATATATATTCAAAATTATCACAACGCCAATGACGGACATCCACCGCCCTCGGAGCAAAGTTTTGTACGTACCTACAGCAAAGTTTTGTACGTACCTACCTACAAAATTCTTGCTTGACGAGCATTTTGCATCGCTTCCCCGTAACACAAATCCATGGTATGCATATTTGTTAATTGAATATTTGCGAGCGCCCGACCCGCCATAGCATAAAATCTTTCGCACTAATTACTTATTATTATTACTAATAAAATACAAATTTTCAAACTTTCAAAATATTTATAAAAGAATAAAAACCTGAAAAAACTTGAAAAAAAAATAAAAACCTGAAATCGCTAGATCACTAATTAGACCTTGTAAAAATTTGTAAACTAATGATTTTTTAAAAATCGTTTAAACATTGTGATTTAAAAACATACTTATAAAAAATATATTTAAATTTAGACACACCAGATTTAAACTTCGTAATGATTTACTTTACTTTAAGTTAATCTGGTTTAATTTATTATGTTATGGTTGGTAACACATTCTGTCAAAAAAATTGTAGGTTATGTGCTCAAATTGTAAATATCTTAACTAAGGGAAGTGCTTTTGGGAGTTTGGATTTATTTACACAAATTGAATGTTTAACGATTAACCTGTGAACTTGTCCTAATTTCATCTGAGTAAAAAGAAAGAAAAAACCTTTGAAAAAATTAATTTTATGGATTTTTTAAATCTATTTGGGCCATTCCACGCTTAACGAATAGGACAGCCGCCGTGTTTTTATTTACAAAATAATATTGTTCCACCATATTACCAATGTCAAATTTTTAGTACCTATAGGTACTAATTTTTCTTATCATTGCTTAGGTTAATAGCTGGATGAGTAAATAAATACAGAATGGTATTAGAGCTTTAAGGGCCTAAAACTTTTGTATTTATTGAGTTTTTATTTATTTTATGCAAGACAATTTTTTAGTAACAATTTTTTTCAACTGGCAACGCGTAGCTACTTTGTTGGTTTGTATATATGTACTCACAGAACACAAGTGTGTAACCAGTGGCGTATCACAAAAAATATAAAAACTTCTAATGCATTTATATTTTTTAACCTTGGGAAAATATCTTTTAAAATATTTTTCCATTACACCTTATGTCAAAAGGTATTCAGTATTTTAATATATAACATTAATTACATAACACCCTGTATAATAGTTTTGAGTAATAACTTTGGAACATAACTTAGTGGTGAAATCGATCTTTTTACTTACTTTGGACCCCTTATTCATAGATAGTTTAGTGCAATAAATTTACAATCCTTTTTGATTAATTTGTTTGGGCTTAAATTTAAAATTTGACGGTGTGGTGTCTGTTGTCAATTAGTTATTTTTTTATTAGTAACAATGTGTCCTTTTATACCAAATACACAATAGTTATTTGTGTATTAAGAGCGCTAAGTGATACATTGCCACTCTGAACGAGAAGTTTGGCTATCTCGCGAGAGCGGCAATGTCACTTTGCTCTCGAATTACACACAGAATTTTTTCTACAAGCGGTGTTTCTATAAGAATGTTTGGTAAAAATTAATAATTATTGATGACGTTTGTGTAACTTTTAACACAAATTGTGTTAAAAGTCGCAAATACACTAAACGTTTCTTTATTATGGTTTCCATGGTAACTAAGCGAGCGACAAAGTAACTTTGTCGCTCGGCGAGCAAAAAAGTAAAAAAACGCTCGCTCGCTAGAATACTAAAATTGGACTCCCTTGATGTTCATTCTCCTCCAATGACTCTTTACCTTCTAAAAACTGTTTATTCCACTGGAAAATACCTCAATTAACAATTAACGCTTTACCCTAACTGCATCAATCGGAGTGTTTCTTATGCACTCTTGAATTTAAATTACATGTAATTACCTGCAGGTTTTTGTTTCACTATATATATATTTTACTATAACAAAACTTTCTGCAACCAGATTAGCCGTTTCAAGTTATGACCCAAATTGTAAAAGCTGCCTTCAAAAAACAAAACAAAAAATGCACATCTCGAAAACATATTCATAACAAAAATTATTTTAATATTTATGTTTACCAGGTCAAAATGTATATATATATATATATATATATATATATATATATATATATGTATATAGCTAAAAAATTTGGTGGGTATTTAGCATCAATAGGTATAAAATAAAAATAATAAAGGTAAGTCAATTAATTAGTTAGTAATATAATGTTTTAAACATTTGGAATGATAGTTAATTTAATTTTAATTTCTATATTCGATGTTTACGGCTTGAAAGCCTGAACGTTTGTGACCCCTTATTGTGACATTTTTCGGCTTAAAATAGAATAGTGAAACAGGAAAACCCGATGAGTTCTATACTAAACGCAGCGTCAAATACTTAATACAAAGGTTGTGTTAACATTTAAGCAATCCAATAAAAAGAGTGATAATGTGAAATTAAATACAATAAAAATGGTTAAAATATATTTATTGTGGTTTATAATTTATAATTTAAGTATAAAAACATATGAGGCCGATGTGCTTAAAATAGGTAAGTGTTTAGATTGTTTTATTTGTTTTTTCGGAAATTCAATGTGGTTTTTACTTTTTTAATATTTAATAGAAACATGCTTTCTAATTGGCACTTTTTTCTTGCGGTTACATCTGATTATTTATCTAGGAAAACAACAAAATAATTTTGGATGTATTGTGCTACAACATAATCTAGTTTACAGCAGTTTTTAGGCTGGCAAACAAATAACCTTACTTTTACATTTAAATTACCTTATAACTAGTTTTTTTTGTTTGTTTTATACAGTTTTTAAGGGAAGATAGTTATATTTTTGGTAAAAACAAAACTTATATAGTATATAAAAATAAATTCAAAAATGATTTTGCTTCATCTGGGTGTAAAGAAAAGGTTTTATTTTCAAATTCTCTGCTGAGAACCTATGCATATGAAACACTTGAAATTCGTGGTCGAAAAAGTTAAAAATTTTGAATAACTGTAAAATTGTTACCTGTAGAAATGTAAATGACTCGTCGCCACTGGTTTACGCGTCGTTTACGTGCTGAGGGACGGGTTTTTACATGAAATAAAAGGAGCTTATTTGAAAACAATAATACCAAATTTTCACCACCTCAGTTTTTAGTGAATATCTGCACAATAAAATCAAATTATTTTTTATAAAATTTCCATTAATTTTTGTCTAAAGTGTTTTTTGTTTATACAAATAAGTAAAAAAATATAGTTTGTTAAATTAAAAAATTGTTTTTGTGTTTTGTTTTGTTTTTATTTTTTTGCAAATATTTCAGAAACTGTACATTTTATTGTAAATTATTACGATAAACATTTTGTAGCCCTTTTAGTTTTCTAAAATATAAAAAATAGAGCTTGTTGAACATATTTTCCCGGCTTTGCAAATTACAAAACACTTTAAAGCGGCTTATCAGCCTACACTTTAAACCGGCTTACAGCTGAGGGTTGTAACCCCTTGAAACCGTTACAGCTTTTTAAATTCGAGAAACCTTGCTACAACAATATACCGTCAACAGCGTAAAACTTTTTCATTAGGCTTTATGAAGAACAAAGTAACAAAAATATCTACACTATTTTTGATTAAATCTGTTCTTGTGGACAAATCGTGAAAATCAAATCCGATTTCTCTACAGTATCAGTGACTGGACACCATTATTTTTGAACATTTCATCCGGTGCAGGCATGGTTGGCGAATGTTTTAGATCCAGAATAGGGAAGATAAAGCTTAAGCCAATGATGACCTCTGAGTTAGGAGAAACGAAACCATCACTACTTGTCGACATCATTTCGTGCTGGTACAATGCGGCGCAACGTGCGGGGCCGGGTTAAAATGCAGGAAAATATGTTTGGATTTCCATTGACTCTTATAAAAAGATATTTTTGATCTACACGGAGAGAAATGTATAGTAAAATTTAGATAGTAAAAAATATATTAAAATTTACTCAATCAATCAATACAATATTAAGATTGTAATACAAAATACTATTTTTTATTATACAATTTTAGTAAAGATTACAACACCAATATTACTAAATCATAAATGTATGAAATATATTTTAATTTTTAATATGTTCGTATAGTAAATTGATTTTACTATCTACAAATAGTAATATTTACTATAGTAAATATATATATATATGATTTAATCAAATGTAAGGTGTACATCTAATATTATAATATATTACACATTAATAAAAATAAAGTAAAAATAAAGATACTATTATGTTTAAGGTAAATAAAAAATATATTTAAATATAATATACAATAAAGTAACTCATGACATTTTAAACATTTAATTTTCTTAGTTTCTTCAATAAACTTTCTTGACCCATTACTGGTAATACTTATAAGAAATAATTGAACCTACTTGGTTGCATAGTATGTACCGATTGCGGCAAAGGCCACGTCGCGACGCGTCGTTAGACGGTGTGGATCATGTGATGTTCTTACATCTCGCCTCTGTTGGCTTACCAACAATGTTATATAAGCTCAGGTATTTCTTTGTTTTGGGTGTGTTCCACTACTACAAGTTGCTCGACAGTGTCGTGTCGACACTGATGAATCATCAGTGATGATACCCAATATAGGTCAAAACACCTGTCTGTCGGTATTGTATATATATATATATATATATATATATATATATATATATATATATATATATATATATATTAGGGTGTTTCAAAAAAATCGACTTTTTCTTTTTCTTCAAATGGTCAGCAAATTCTTTTAGAGGATGTCAAAACAAAGATCTCGTTAAAATTTGAGCTTTTAATTTGAAGATTTAGAGGTCGCGGATCGCAATTTTCTATTTCCCATTTAAATAACATAGGAATTTTTTTTTTTAACTTTGGAATTTTATACGTCTATATCGAATCAATTTATGGCAAGGAACATCTTAGATTTTTATAGTAAATTTAACGCTCTACAAAAAAGGTCTCCTATCATTTTTCTATAAATTGATTCCTTCCAGAGTTATTCGAGGCCAAAGTTTGATTTCCATCGAATTTTCGCGTTTTTTTAACATATATGGTACAATTATCATTATACGGGTGTCCCGAAATTAGGGAAACTTAAATAGTGCATTATTCGTATAAAAATAACACTTTTTTGTTTAATAAACATGTATCAAAAAATGCTCCCTAAAGGAGCTACGGCCCCCTGAATAGGAGCCTAAAAGGATAATTTTTTTTAATCTATTCCTAGAGGGTTGAACATGAACAAATGAATTTTCGGTACTTTGGTAATTTTGACATGCTGAATCTAGATCTACGATCAGAACTGTTAAAATTTAATCATAGGCGTAACATTTGGAGGGGGCAAAGTTACAAAAATAGCCCCAACTTTTTTCTGGGTTAATAATTTAATTTTTTTTATGAAATTATGAGAATTTATAGTTTTTTACGAAAAATAGGTACTCTTGATTTGAATTGCTCAGATGCACCATTTTCGAGAAAAATGCATTTATATATAAATTACTCTGCATATTATACACATCTCATATTTTCATTAAAACTTTGTAGTAGGCTTTGAAAGTGACGTTTTTTTGTTTTTTTACAACACTTCCTATGTTTCAGATATAAATATGTGATTTTTTTACTACATGATGCTAAAAGTTGAAAAAACGAGAAAATTCGATGGAAATCAAACTTTGGCCTCGAATAACTCTGGAAGAAATCAATTTATAGAAAAATTATAAGAGACATTTTTTATAGATGTTCCTTGCCATAAGTTGATTCGATATAGACGTATAAAATTCCAAAGTTAAAAAAAAAAATTTCCTATGTTATTTAAATGGGAAATAGAAAATTGCGATCCGCGACCTCTAAATCTTCAAATTAAAAGCTCAAATTTTAACGAGATCTTTGTTTTCACATCCTCTAAAAGAATTTGCTGACCATTTGAAGAAAAAGAAGAAGTCGATTTTTTTGAAACACCCTAATATATTCAGAAATTAATAGTTATTTATGTCATTAGGTTAAGAAGTAAGGCTTTTTGTGCTAAGCTCAAGCTACAATTGAGCGAAGCACAAAAAGGCACTTCTTGGTTGAATGGCATACAACATTTTATCTTCAAAGAACTTTATATAGGTCAATTTAATTCAACATCAAAGCGGCCTAACCTCACTTTTTTAGAATCTTATTTATATATTAGCTAAATATTACATTAAATATACAATAATTATAATAATAATAATAATTATTATTGCTTTTAGAAGCAGTAATAGTTTGACAATACCTAGCAACATGATTTAAGTAGAAATGGATTTTTCCTATTACATTGAATTCAATTAATTGTTTAATAAATAGGTAGGTATCTAATTTCAATTTGTTTGGATTTTAATTTAAAAATAGGAATGTTTAAGCTGTGTTTAACATTTAATTTCACTGAAAACTTAAAGCAAATTAAAACTTAAAGATAATTTAAATCGTAGAAAAAGAATCGTGCGTTTTCTTGGTTGCCTATCCTAACTTTTTGTTTTATTATTCATATTTAATTTTACAATAATTTAATGAAAAATATTAAACATTACCAGTAAAACAAACAAATTAGTGCTTATTATAAATAAATTAAACCAGTTTAGTACGTTAATTTCTTATAAAATGATTAATTTGTCAAAACAATACCCCTAGCGAGATTATAAAACAATCCTTTAATGGCTAGCCATCAAAAGATTGTTTTAGAAGTGTGCCGGGAATCCGCGACTGCTCCACACACTTCGGCCTATCGTGACTATCAAAGACGTAATAAAATAAATCATCTTTTGATAATTACTGTCGGACGCCTACTAAACACAAATTATATTTTAGGATGTCTTTGATAAAAAATATTGTACTTGTATGTATATTATTAATCTGACTTTTAAATACTAAGCTGTCGAAAGCCCGTAATCCAGGGCTGTATGGGGTATATGGGTGTACGAGCGCGGCCATGTTCACTCGAGGATTGGACGGCTCTTGTTAGTCACACCGAGCTCTATTTTTTTTTTAAATTTTAGAATATAAAATGAGGTACAAAATGTTAATCATAATCATAAGAATCTCGTGCAAATTTGGTTTCAAATAAGCCCCTATCGTTTAATGAAAAAAAACAGACAGTGCCTCGCACGCAAGATCAGGCCATCAGACTACTGGATTTATACTATCTAATTTGACTTTAATGATTAATAATATTATCAATCCGCATTTCCAAAGACTTCACTGCTGTTTCATGTTTAAGTTAACTATATTGTTATTGCTATTTTATGGTTCTACAGATATTAGGAAAAATCAGATATTTTTTGTATTATCCACAAAGCATTTCCAAAAACTAGTTAATAGCAAGTTTTCAGTTAAAGAATCTAAAATAATTTATTTTTGTAAAATTAGTGAATCACCATGTATTTTTTTTTAAATCAAATACTTTAACCAAGGAGTAGTAAGTAGAGTAAAGAAATGTTTAAGTAAGATTTATAAACTTATTCCCTTCAAAAATCATGTATTTAACAAATTAAATTTTTTATCAAAAATTCGAAAATTTATCAAATTCAAAGTGCTGTTACAAAAACATTTTATGACATGCGAAAAGCATCCAAAATCGTCTAATTCGAGTCGACTGACAAAAAATAATGTTTGCACGCTTTAACCAGAGGCGTTTCAACTTGTTTAAAAAACAATGAGGACTCATTACTTGATGGATTAAGTTTGAATGGATCGATCAATCTTTTGTGGTATAAACTTATCAAATATTTGGAGCATTTCGCAAAAAATCGACAAAGCGAAATCGATGGTTCGGAAATATATGTCATATTTTTGTTTCTATTATTGGCATTTGGGTTTTATGGATTTTTTATTACAGCCTTGATTGAAACAGGATAGCTCTCGGCAATATTAGAAAATGTGATTTTCAGGGCCAATTTTTAAATAAACTCTTTAAATTAATTCTGTAAATAACATTAATTATTGAATTCATTGATATTTCTTTAAAAGAAACATAATATACCAAAATAAATATCACATAATATTATTATGTGACATTTATTTTGGTAGTGCCTTATGCAAGAACGTTTTAATTTTGTTTAAGAGTGCCATTCTTTTTTGATACCCTAGCCAAACTCCACTTTTTTTTTAAATTACGTTACATGTGAATATATATTTGTTCGCTCCTTTAATGGTTAACAGGATTAATTCCTGGCTTACTTAGTTTTTAATACATCAGTTTGGCTTTGGTGTACAAAAATATATTTTCCATTTATTTACTTTATGAGTGTTTATAATTATTTATTTTTTAGTTTAATTGGGACCCATAGCTATTTTAAAATTGTTAATTTACCAATTACATAGGTCTGAAAAAAAAATTTGCTGCACGAGATATTTTTACTGAGCTGTATGCTTTAAGGTGTGCTAAATCTAAAAATCGCTTTTATTTTGTTCTATCACGTACAGTTTTTTTTTGCAAAATGGGATGTTGAAAAAAAACACTAATTAAAAAAAAATTCAGTATTTTATTACTTTTTACTTAAATAATAATTACTACTAACAAAAACATTATTTCTTATTTAATTAAACAATATTATATTTACTCTCTTTTCTGATGAAACCTTTTCTTCTCTTTTATGCTTCTTCTAGCTTGTTTTTGCTTTCTTACCTTAGTTTCTAGCTTAAGCATCCTGCAATAGTCATCTAGCATACTAACATCCAATCTTCCTTGGTAGCGTCTCTCGAAATCACAGACATCCTGGTGAAATCTTTCACCCTGTTCTTCACTGTAGGCTCCCAAATTTTCCCCAAAATAGTCAATATGGCCGTGTAGAAAATGAACTTTTAAGCTCATTTTTGACAACTTGACGTGATGGATTTTTTTTAGTATTTTTTTATAGTTTGAGTAAGTTAAGTTCTATATATATATTAAAAAGCAAAAAAATCCTGTGCAGTTTTTTCTTTGTTACTTTCGGTTATGATGAAATTTGGTATATGACTAAAGAAATGTATGCGAGTTTAAATTTTTGAATATAAAAAAACCGTTTTTTTACAAAAGGAGGTGATTGGATTCAGCAGTTATTTTACTCTGTACACCTAGGCTTGGTATTCTAAAGCTTTATTATACCTGCTACATCTGGAACACACGATACCGATCATATTATAATGTATAAATTAAATATTATTATTTTAAATAACCCTTCATGACGGATTTAAGAATGTACAATTACTTAAAAATTATTTGTATTTCAAAATATGCATTCACTATGTAGTCTTAAACATTTTAAATTTTAGGAGCAATATTTGATAAAACAAGCCCATACAAAGAAAAGGCATTTCTTCTTGCCATAGATGACGCAAACGATAAAGCAACAAATGATGAATATGAATTTGAAGGTATAATTAAAAAAATAGAGTATGACGATTCATTTCAATCAATGAATGTGACCTGCACCTTGATACAAGAAGGAGTTGTGGGCATATTGGGCCCAGTATCTGAAGACAACTCCAACGTAATGCAATCAATATTGGATCTGAAAGAAATTCCTCATATTGATGTTAGATGGGACGATCAACCGTTAAATGGAACAGTTGTAAATGTGTATCCCTATCCGGATGTGATGACGAGGGTTTATTTAACAATATTAAATGAGTGGCAATGGGAGAGTTTTGTTATACTTTATGAGAATAATGAGAGTTTGTTTAGGGTTGCGGAATTACTAAAGTTGTTTCATGATTCTGGGAGTAAAATTGTTGTTAGGCAGCTTGATAAACATAAAACAGGAAATTATAGGTAAGTAAATTTAAAGTGTGTTTAATTATTAGTATTAGTATTGTGTTGTACCTATGTACAATAGTGATGGCGTCTATCTATTTATGTTAACATATTAAAGCTTAAATTAATATTTTTCTGACGGTTATGCACTTTTTTAAAGAAGTCCAACAATTTTGGTTAAGTCGATATTCCCAAGCAAGGTCTCATTTTCTAAATTTAAATGTTCTTTATTGATCATTACTCTCTGAAAAAAAATATATGAACTTTTTACATGTGTTCCGAAAATAGCGCACAACCGCCATACCACGAAATAGTGGTGGTATGAATTTATTTATACTTTTTATTTTTTAAAGGTCCTTTAAATTTGTTTTCTTTTTTTATAGAAACATCACTAAACATTCAAATAACAAAAATTAAATTTAATTTTAAAAACCGTACCTATAACTAGAAAAAAAGTTTTTAAAAACAAATCACCACAATCACGTGATATGGCGTTATTTTCGAGACACCCTGTATCTACATACCCTACTTTTTTTAGCATTAGGCTTCTTTCCTCTGCACATAAAAACATATTAAAACATTAATGAGTTAATTATAGATAAAAAACATTTAAGTTCGGAAGATGTGCTTTTGCATTTTAAGGAGACGGACGAGTAATTATTAAGAAATATAATACAATTTTTAAAATGAATATTTTTACTATGATCAAAATTTCTATTTACCCTCTTTCTCGCGTATCCATCTGCTATCGTTTGTCTCACTCACACTTCTGGCGAATATTTGCCGGCTGTCAATATATTTGCAATGTTGCCATTTTGCAATTTATATGGTAAGTGTTATAATAGTAACTAGGTAACTGTCGCCTATTTCGAAGAATACTTCCTTTAAATTTTAGCCTTTTAAAAGTACCTATAGGTACTTTTAAAAGGCTACACACATATATGTGACAAAATACTACCTATACTAGCAACTTTATGCTCGCCTGGCTATGCTCCACATCAAAAAGTCCCAATTTGCATTTAAATAGGTAATGCAGTCAAATCATTGAGATGTCAGTTTAACGCTAATTTCGTCCAATTTTTTGAAAATAATGCAATAAATTTATTTTGGCCAGATACCACCTATCCGGCAAGATTTAAAGCAGGATAGCTGGGGGGGGGGCTTTTTTCCAAATCTTACCGAGGGGGAGGGAGGGTTCAAGTTAAAAAAAAACACCTTACGTAATTAATGGACGCCCCCTTAGAAATTACAGTTGGTTTTATGAATTGTCGTAGTTTTTCAAATATTCGGTATCCGGCCCGATATTGAGTTATCAATCTCTGGGTAAGTTCCAGTTAGTCTATCTGACAGTTAAATTTTATCTCGATCGTTGTTAAAAGTTTGAGATAGTTATTAGACATGGGACCCACATCAAATTAATATGAGTTTACAATGACATTATATAGACAAGTTCTGCGCAAGCAGAATTTAAATTGAAGTTTGCGATAAAAAGTTAGTTTTTAAGTGTGCCCCCCCAGCCTCCTGCCCCTCCAAATTAAGATAATGCAAATTAAAGTGGTACAATATTTATATCTATGAAGTTTATCGACAAATTTCAAATTTTATTAAAAAATTTCAAGAATTACAGGTTTTATACCATTTTAAATTTTTAATATTTCTTTTACTAAATTTAAAAAAAATAGAAATGGTATAAAATCTGTAATACTTGAATTTTTTTAATAAAATTTGAAATTTGTCGATTAACTTCAGTGAATTAAATATTGTACCACTTTAATTTGAATTATCTTAATTTGGGGGGGCAGGAGGCTGGGGGGGGCACACCTAAAAACTAACTTTTTTTCGCAAACTTTAATTTGAATTCTGCTTGCGCAGAACTTGTTTATATAATGTCATTATAAACTCATATAAATTTGATGTGGGTCCCATGTCTAATAACTGAGATATGGGTGTGCCCAAAATCCACCAGCCGCCACTTAATAATAATTTTCATGGATACCATTGTTTTAACTTAACTTTAACTTAAACTAGACTTTGATAAACCGGCCCTTAGGAATTAATTCAGACTTAAGCCGGATACTGAGTAGTTACTGGATATTCGTTTCATCTCTAGTATAAAGTTCTTAATTTATAAGACAAAAATACATGTATTGTATTATTTTTAGAAATTAAGACGAAATTATCGAAAACCATTAAAACAATTTTACTGAAAATGTATAAAACATTTCATGCTTAAACCTTCTTAAAAATGTGAACTTGGGCAAGATCTCTAATTTTTTTTATGAAAATCTATATTTTTGTTTAAATGGGAAAATGTGGTTTATAGAAACCAAATTCAACTCAAATTATTAGTTTTTGTTTCTTACTTAGTTATTAAAGTGCTTTGTTTTATTTTTATTAAATCAATTAATCCAAAACCTCTTGATGTTAATATTTATGAAGTTAAATAAATAATTTCATAATAATACTTTTTGTAGATTACCAATATAATATTAATATTTTACAAAAAAATTTCCCAATGGTAGACGACAAACATTACTAGGACAACTTTACGGCAGAGTAACTTTTACTTTCCATAAAATTGTTTCAACTGGTTATGCTAATACCCATTAACATTTTTCTGATTTTTTCGACTTTAACAATACACACAAAGCAATGTGACTAAAACCAAACAAAGGTTTAATAAATTTTTCCTTAGATCGACTTTAAAGGAAGTGTGGAGATCTGGGGCAACGCATTTTATGTTGGATTGTTCGATAGACATTCTTGAAGCAGTTCTTCGCCAAGCACAACAAATTGGCCTAATGACAAGCAAACATCACTACATTATTACAAACCTGGATTTGCATACTTTCGAGCTAACACCGTTTACCTACAGCGAAACCAACATCACTGGGGTAATACAAATATAATTTAAATACATACATATGTATATGTGCTTAGATTAACTTTAGCTAATCACCCCAGAAACCAAAACATCGTTTTTTGGGTTTTGACCAATTATAATTATCTAAAACTTTATTAAAATCAAGTCCCTTCGCTTTACCCAGGCCTGGTGATACCACACAAATTTTAGGTAAAAAGTTACGCTTTTTGACCCTTTAAAAAATGTTGTATATCTTATTTGGCTTTTTAGTGGTCATTGCATACCAGATATGTTAGAGGTTGTCTATAAAGTACGTCACACGTTTTTACAAACTTTTCCGACAAGTAATTTTCGAGTTATTAAGCATTTAAGTTTAAAAAACTGGCAACGCTTCTAATATTAAACAATAATAACAAATTTAAAAAAAAAATCATAATAATGTCGTACTGTCAAAAGGTCACATTTTTTAATAAGAAGTGGGTTCATTTGACACATTATTAAATATGTCTTTGCAAGCTGATCATAACCAACTACTTTCTAGATTCTGTATAGGATATTGTCGAAATTATAACCAAAAAAATTTTATGAGTACAATTTTTAACATTTAACAATTTTAGTTTAGAAATTTGAAAATCAAATATTTTAAGTCTAACCTTTTGTACATTAATAAATTTAAAAAACAAATGAAAATACAAAATTTCTCAAAGCAAAAATAACTAACCCAACCAAACATCATTTAGGGACCTATTTAGATAAAAATCATAAAAATAATTGAGACACAAAATAATTTTTATATTCATTCTTTTGTTTTTAATTCATTTTTTAAGCAATTTTGTGTCTCAATAATTTTAATGATACATATTATATTATTATACATATTATATTATTATATTATATTATATTAATAAAAAAAATAAAATTCACAGGATGTACATTTATCCATACCTAATTTTATGATATAGAATTAATTTTATAAAACATAAACATAAAATTGTTAGTTTACTGGAATTTCAGTAGAATTCAGTAGGCAGAAAAGATGTATATCCTTAGGGGTATAGATTTAATTTTGTCTTAAAAATCAAACATTCATTCTATTTAAAATTTTGTTTCTGTCATCGGCTTATCTGAACAGGAGATTGCATATAATATATTATATTAAAAAAAACATTCAACTCTCTGAACAATAATAGTTTGGTATGTATATATCAAGTTTTATAAACACCATTTTTGTCACGAATTGTAATTAGGCACGAGCTAGCTTGCGACTGTTCTACGCCAAATATTAATTGATATCTAAAAATGATTTAAATGAAATATTTGTATATATCGACATATATATAAAAAATAGAGTAACTCGCTTAACAATTTCTAACTTAGGAAACTGTATGCGCCAGTCAAAATGTCAAATTTGTATAAGAAAATCGAAATTTATCCCTTGAAAATGGACTAACAACCATTTAAATTATGATATAGAATTAATTTTTCACAGTGAAAGTAAAGATAATGTTTTCAGTTAAATGAAGTTTACTGCCGGAAAAATCGAAAGGTCAGTAAAAACTTGCATATTTTATAATAGGTATTGGCGTTGAGAAACTATTTAAAACTTTTTATTTTTGTATTAAGATATTAAAATAATTTTTATCTCCACGCGGTCTATAATTTAAACTTTATTGTTGTCAACATTCGATAAAGAAATACCTTGTTATGGCCTAGGCCGATAAAAATTATTATGAGGCAAGTAATTAGTTCGATTTTTTCTCGCTAGGGGTATTGTTTTGACAAATGTATCCTTTTTTAAGAAATTAACGTACTAAACTGGTTTAATTTATTTACAATAAGCACTAATTTGTTTGTTTTACTGTTAATGTTTAATATTTTTTATTAAATTATTGTAAAATTAAATATGAATAATAAAACAAAAAGTGAGGTTAAGCAACCAAGAAAACGCACGATTATTTTTCTACGATTTAAATTATCTTTAAGTTTTAATTTGCTTTAAGTTTTCAGTGAAATTAAATGTTAAACACAGCTTAAACATTCCCATCTACCTATTTTTTAAATAAAAATCCAAACAAATTGAAATTAGATACCTACCTATTTATTAAAAAAATAATTGAATTCAATGTAATAGCAAAAATCCATTTCTACTTAAATCATGTTGTCAAACTGTTCATGTAATCTTTAGCTAATAAGGGAATGTACCCATACTACGTGACCTATTTTTTAAGATTTTTTGACCCCTCCCTCCCCTCGGTAACCACGCGTAGTATATGCCAAGACCCCTTCCCCCCTCCCCTACAAGTTTTTACGTAGTATTGGCAAGAATGATTTTTAATCATTTTGTAAGGAGAAAGTGTAGCAAATGAAAATAATTTGACTCATACTTAAAAGCGCGACGTTTCTCTCGGCGAAATCGACTACGTGACAAAAATCTAAGCCACCCCCCCACACTCCTGTGACTGATCGTAGTATTTTTAAGAAGTCCCACCCCCCCCTGAATGGGTTACGTAGTATGGGTACGTTTCCTAAATAAATGAGATTCTAAAAAAGTGAGGTTGGCCGCTTTGACTTTGAATTAAATTGACCTATATAAAGTGCTTTGAAAATAAAATGTTGTATGCCATTCGGCCAAGAAGTGCCTTTTTGTGCTTCGCTTAATTGTAGGCCTCCGCTACGCGTCGGCCTTCAAACCTTGAGCTTAGCAGAAAAAGCCTTACTTCTTAACCTAATAACATAAATAACTATTACATTATTATTAAAAGGTCACTTTATTGTAACTATTGTATGACATTTGACAACTGTCAACTAACTTAAAACTTCAACCCGTGATTAAAAACCTGTTGCTAACTTCAGCCCGTGACTAAAACGCCATTAAGCCACAACTTGCCAATGTGTATTTAAAAGGTCACTTAGTGTCATGGAAACATGTACGATAAGGGGCGTTTTAAAGGTGGAATTGGAAACAGTTGTTTTAATAATAAAAAATAGGTGGCCAAATAATTGTATGCAATAGTAATTTTACTAATTACTAATTTATGTTAAGATAAATTATTGCAGTGAAAAATTATTACAATAAAAAATTAATACAACAAGGAATTATTTTAGTAAGAAATTAATGCCGTGAAAAATTATTGCATTAAGAATTTATTGAAGTGAGAAATGAATTCAGTAAGAAATTATTACACTAATAAATTATTGCAGTAAGAAATGATTGTCTACTGAGAAATTTTGTCATAAGATATTTTTGTCTGAGAAAATGAAATAGGCCACCATAGTGGGTCATGTAACACATCATTTGAAAGGTATGTAACTATTTATTTTTAGATTGTACAGGGTGCTGATAATTTTATACAAACCATGTATATAATTCTAAAGATAAGTAGTTGTTTATAATAAGTTTGCAAAGATCTTTTTAGTTATGTGCACATGACACCAGTTTTATAAAAAAAATTAACAGTACCTATAATCGACGCCATTTTGAAAAGTTTTAGTATTAACGAGATTTTTTTATAATAAATGGTTTCTATTACAAATATATACCTACCTTTTATTTTATGAGTAGTAAATTATGAATGTTTATTATTAATTACTTAAGGTGACAGATGTGACAGATGAAAATTGACATATGACACAACACAGCTGAGAGATGACAGGTGACAGCTGAAAGGTGACAAATGACAGACGAAATGTGACAGATGACAATTGACATATGACAGGTGGCAAATGACACCTGTAATCTGTCATCTGTCATTTGTCATCAGCTATTTGTCATCTGTCAACTTGACATCTGTCACCTGTCATCTAGCACCTCAGCCGGAAATATTATAAGCTCTAAACGGAACTGCTTACTTCCCGAAAATGCAAATTTATTAATTTTCCTTTACCAAAATAGAGATATAACTGAAAAAAAAATTAACAATTAATTTAATAGCCATTTTTATAAATAAAATGTAAAATTTTATTTATCCTAATAAATTACTCTATTATTGTTTGTCATAAAAGCAACATCAATATTATTATTTTTTTAACCTGTCCGCGAATAAGAAATCATTATATAGCTTTAAAAAAATTAGCCGTTTAGCCGGTTAGCCGTTAGCTAATTAGCTGAGATAAGCTAAATTAAACGGTTAAGCCGCCAGCTAATTAGCTAAGCTAATTTAGTTAACCGGTTAAATTAGTTAAGCTGATCAGTTAGCTAGCTAATTCATTTGGCTAACTTTTTTTGGCCGGCTTAACCGGCTAAATTGTACAGCACTAGTTAAAATATAACAATTACTTAAGATCCTCCTGTAAGCATATTTTTTTATTTTCGAAAATAGTATAAGAAAACTAATTTAAAAAATTGGGACAATGTTACCTACACGATCGGGTTATTTTCACTCACTCGATTTTTTGCTTAGATTAGCTATTATAAATGCGTTCTGGACCAATGTAAGACCTAGGTAGGGTAATAGTACAAAGCAACATGAATAAAAACTTAAAAAAAACTCTATTTTAAACCAGTGACAAGGAGAAATAGGAGAACATTTTATAAGATCAGTCAAAATCAAGTACTGGCACTGTGAAAAAGCCTTTGCGGACTTCCTTTGGTGGAAACATTTGCTTTTTAATGTCACACCACGTATATTACATGATATCTTTTTGTTTAGGCCACCTCCAAAACTTGTTTCCTTTCTTCATACACTCGATAACTGCTCCCTCATCATTTACAGAAATTACTTTACCAGGATATTCCACTTTCTCATAAAATATTATAACAAAGTGTCTTAAATTTAACTCCTTCAACACTGAACTTGACCTTTGATCTTCCAAAGCACCACTTGAGGTCAGTAATTCTTGTACTATATCAAGATCAACTGCATTTGCTGAGTTCAATTCATCCATATTACTGGTTAAAGGAAATATTTCCTGCATAATTATATCAGTCCCATCTTCGAGGTTTGGTTCGTCTTCCATAACTCTATCTGTAGGAAGTAATTCTGGAAATTCACTTTGAAAATTAGAAAATAATTCCACCTCGTTCATTCTGTCTAAAGTGGAACCAAATGATAATGGGCTGTCTCCAGAATCAGTAACACTAAAATGATCATCTTCGTTTGTTGATGATGATGTTGAACGATCACGTCTTTGTTTTGGTCTTCCCCTCTTGCGAGAAGGTTTAGGTATTTGCTGAGGAGTCATCAGGAGCAATGCTCTGGCCCGGTAGGACTGTTAATTTCTTTTTGCGATTGATTGGCGTGCTTAATCCTGTTCTCTTCTCCTTCAATCTATCCAAAAAAACATCCCCTATCAATGCTACATTACATTTACATTATTATCTTGGCTTGGTAAACGGTTTAATATTTCATGCTTATTTATTGGATAAATTCCTGCTTTTCTGAATCCCGATTTTAAATTCTGGCTCATTGTCGGAGCAAGTTCGTCCAATGCTTGTTTAAGTAATGCAGGAAACTGGTCTTTGAGCAAGCTTTGGACCTTCTTGCCTTGTTCGGACTCTTTTCAAAGTGTGAGCACCTGTTTCCACTTCATTTTTAGAGGTCGAAAATATGCAACGTCTAGGGGCTGCGTTAGGTGTGTTGAGTTCGGTGGTAAACAAACGAATGCAATGTTATTATCCTGACATAATCTTAAAACATTTGGACTTATATGTGAACTTACAACTTTTTTCCCAGGTTGTTTTCGCAATACTGGCAGTAGATGAACAGTAAACCATTCCTCGAAAGTTGCACCGTCCATCCATCCATGTTTTGTGCGGTTATATCTCGTGCCTCGGGGGCCATTTTCGGTCCATGTGGACCATAAATGTTCTGCTTTGTAGATGACGTATGGAGGCAGGGCAGTGCCAGAAGCAGTTCCTCAAAACATGACGGACGTGCTAGATTTTGTTGAGTTCATAATTCTTTCAGGATACTTGCAGCCACGTCGACATAAGATGCGCTTTCTGCCAGGATCATCACTAAGATTACTTTCACATAATTATAAATCTGTTCAGGGGGAACGTCTTCTATAACTGATTGAAGATTGTCGATATATTCAGTTATCATTTGTTCATTCACACTGGCTCTAACTTTTTTTATATTTGCAGCAAATCGTCAGCTCTCTTTTGAGATATAGTTTTGCCCAATCTTGCCCTGGCATGTTATTTTAAAATTGTCTAATAGTTCGCCCTTGACTTGTCACATATGCTTTTACAATAAAACGAAAATCCTGTTCATCTACCGGAAATCCAAATTCACAAAGCTTAATGATATGTGCGGCAAATGCATTTTCTTCGGCGTCAGAAAAAAATGTTGGGTGACCAGGTTTTGCAGGAAATTTTATTTTTAAGGGTGCTTCTGGGTATTTTAAAATATTCGACCGCTCTCCTCTGACTCATTGTGCCCTCTCGTATATTGCGTAAGCACAATTGCAATGTTTCCTTGCTATAATCAGCGTATTTGCGACTACCTGGTTTTCTCTTATATTTGCCAGGCATGATTATAAGCTTATGCGTTATCAAATCTGGAATAGAATAAGAGAAACTGCTTTAGGTAGGTACTAGTAAGGGATAACTTCAACTTTAGCCCGAGCCAAACTCACCCGTAGGTTGCTTTAGCCCGGGCCAAAGTCATCCGTCGGAGTGGGGCAAAGAAGTCCAATTATACAATTAAGGTTATTATACAAATTTACATGCGTGAATTACAACAAATAGTTTACAACCTCTTCAGAAAGGTTATATTTGCCACCTATCAGATTTTTAATGCGGAAATCACTTGTTCTACATTCGACACTAGTGACATCTACAGGACATTGGATATACTGATTAAATAAGTACCTACCTACTACTTATAATGGTCCCTCTATTAGATACACCCATAACTTTTCATCTACAGATTCCTCTTTAGCTTGTAGCAAAATTGTAAACATTTTCGCCGTTTGGGCCAAAGTAACACCTCAAGGGACAATGTAACCCTAGTTTACGGTAGTCAATTTTCCATTTAATATGGAATTGACTATATCTCAAAAACTGCTCCTCTTTCATAATTTTTGACGGTATTTTCTGATTCAGGGGACAATTTTACATAAGAATTGGATGTTAAATTTTGGGATACCATGGTATTCCATGGTTAACCATGGTACAAGTGAAAAAGCAGCCACTAATAACTATTAAATCAGTCATTTTTGACTAATTCATTTTTAGAGAGTTTAAAACGCCCATTATCGTACATTTTTTCATGACAATAAGGGATAAGGGACACATTAAGATATGTCTCTATGGCGCTTTAGTCAACGGCTGAAGTTATCTTTAAGTTAGTTGACCGTTTTCAAATGTCACACAATCGTTAAAATAACGTGCCCTTCTTATAAAATAATAATGTGGACAATATTTTATTATCCTAATACAAAAAGTAAAAAGTATTAAATAGTTTATCAACGCCAATTAGGTATTGAAAAGTTTATATGCAAGTTTGTACTGACTGCCGGCAGTAAACTAGATTAAACTGAAAGCATTAAAAATTTCGGGTGGAGAACCCACCGTAAAGAGCCCATAAAACATTCTTTTCACTTTTACTGTGAAAAACTGCTATATCATCTTATAAACGGTTGTTAATCCATTTTCAAGGGATAAATTTCGATTTAAACATACAAATTTGATATTTGGATTGACGCGCTGGTTTTTATAGATGTCGCTCTATACAAATATTTAATTTAAATCATTTTTAGATAACAATAAGTATTTGACGTTAATAAACTTTTCTAGACACTTATTTAACCAAGCATAAATTCGTGACTAAAATGGCAGTTATCAAACTTGATATATAATATACTACCTATTTCAAACCTTAAATAAATTCTTTGCGAGAGACCAGTTTAATAAAATCCCTTGTCAGGAAGTGAAATAAGGCTAAACAATTTATTTATATTTTTCAGATGAGATTTATAGATCCAACAAACGAAATGATAATGCAAGTAGCTTCGAGAATATTTTTCACCGAATCTGAAATCGAGGAAAATATGGCCAACAAATACGAAGCCGGTTACAAGCTTCAACTGGAAACAGCTTTAGTTTATGACGCAGTCAGTATGTTTATTGAAGCTGTAAAAAGCGCTCCAAAAATCAGTTCACCAAGTATAAATTGCTATGAAAACGATGGAGGATGGCCTTCTGGTCAAACTGTTGTCAATTTAATGAAAGGGGTAAACGTTTAAATATTTAATTGTTTTTATCCCCGTTACTTTATATTCTTTTAATAAAGAGAATAAGTTACCTTTAACTAATAAATAAAATATTCATGACCACCAAAAAAATCATGAAACAAACCCAACGGCAAGAGAAATGTTGTTGAGGTGTGTGTAATACAAAATGTATTACGAACAACCCCTTGTCGTTGGGTTTGTTTCATAAGTTTTCTGTTGGTCATGATGCACCAACATGGGGGAGGATTTTTAAAGGCTAGTAAAAAAATATATATTTTTTTTGTTTTTTTAACAAATATGAATACTAAAACGTTCTCCTGGCTACAAAAGCAATTTTTTATGAAATATATATATTTTTTATTAAATGTCGATAAACATATGTACCTATAGATGGAAATTAGACAGAAAAAAAATTGCTCGTGCAAAGTTTACAAGATTACCTGGTAAAAAAAATGTATGTATATATTTTAACTCCAAAATATGTCGATTTAACTATATTTAGTGTAACGAGCCGATCACACCACTTTTGGGTAATTCTCCCTTTACTCTACTAGCGTGATTTTTTTTTATTGTTTTATTGGAATTTTGCAGTGTGGTTAGTGATGTTGTGTGCATTATTGGTAAGTACATTATTATAATAATTGTTTATTTATGTCTTTGGGGTTAATTAAATAGTTATATTTACTTAAACACAATTTACTTAACAAGTACCTACCTACTTAAGAACACACATGTTAACATGTTGCATGTATAGTATACATACATTGTATACTATACTTTATCAACGACGAACAGAAATAAGAATTTGAAGCCAATTTTAATGCATATATATATTTAAGATTTAAAAAATATAACCATACTTTTTCGCAACTTATAATAAAGCTAACTTCAGCCCATTACTGAAATACCACTGTTTTTAACTCCAGACCGTGACTAAAGCCTGATGTATAGATTGACTTCCTTCCTTCCTCCCTTTCTCCCGTAAAAGATAAACAATACGAAAACCGAAGTGCTGTTTATGGATTCCCGTACCCTAAAAATTCCCTTTCTTCCTTCCGTAGTTTTCAAGTTTTATCTTTCATCATTTATAAATGTCTCATGTCAAACTAATCATAGTACACCTGTATTATGACAGGCATGGTATATGTCGCACATATACAAAATATTTAATACAATGTATAACACGTAATATTAGGTATAGGCACAAGTTTAGTTCAAATAAAGTTGTTAAGGTACATGTATATTGTGTTTCTTAAGAAATATATTAAAAATGGCAGGTGTTTACAAGTTGTTAATTATAATTTATAACAGCTGTTATTATTTATGTAGTTTTTTTAACTAATACCTACATATTCTTACAAAATGTAACTACTTCTTAATTATAGAACTAATTCAAACGCACCCATATTTATATTTTAAAGAAGATTTAATTAAGTAAATTAAACAGCCATGGTGAAATTGCCAACATTCTTATAGTTGAAGTTAAAATAAATATTTAATATAGATTATTAGCTTATAAAGGGTGTCCCAGAACTCGCGCTACAGAGAAAAAGAAAACCAAAAGCCAAAAGTTATGCGAAACACATACTTGAAAATTAAAATTATATAACACAACGGATAAGCGAGATAAGAATAAAAAACGATAGCCAATCCCAATACATGGCCATAGGAATTCTTTAAATTGCTAGGATACTTAGGATGCATTGTTGATATTATAATGTTAAATATTTGGTCGACTGAAATCCACTTCATTGTGAAACTTCTGTCAATTTTTGTTCCCGTCATTATTTATCATTTTCAGTTATGTTTTACCCCTCTGATTATGCCGAAATGATGATTATTTAAGGGGAGGATGGGCTCAGTGCTAGGGAGGCAGCACGAGTTTTTTCCTAGCGCTTTACCGATCGTCCACTGGACTGTAAAGTTGTTCTGCATTCTAACGAAATTGAAGGTGCTCCTTAACGTATTAGAACAGCGAAAAATAAAGAAGCTATTTTCAATGCCTTTGATGCAAATAGTAGGAAGAGTATTAGGGAAGTTGCACCCGAATTTCCCGTTCACAGTTCAGAGGGTTATGAAAAACGTTCTTTTTACGCAAGTGCAGCACCTGCAGCCGGAAGATAATCCTGCTAGAGTGGAATTCTGTAATGATTGCTAGAGATTTTGACTCTGGGGTACAGCACTAGTTGTTTGATTTTTAATTAAAAACATTGGCGTCCTGAAGTATGACATTCGTCAATTTAGAAGTGGATAATACTATCTTATGTATCCATTTTAGACACGAATTTAAATGAGTGCCTAGAAAAGTTTATAAACGAGTTGCATCCTATACTTTTTCCACGACAAATACTTATTATTATATAAAAGGGTTTAAATTAAAAATGTGTAAAGAGCGACATCTATGAAACAATAGAGGAACTTGGGAATCTGAAAATGTCAACTTTTTATGTGTAAATTGAAATGTATCCGGAAGATTCGCAAAAAATCCATGAAATGTATCCCTTGAAAATGGACCGTTTAATCCGATATAGAAGCAGTTTTTTTAAAGTAAAGAAAATGTTTTATTGGCATGGCACTTCACGGTGGAGTCTCCATCTGAAATGAAGTTAAATCTAGTTTACTGCCGGTGAAATAAAAAGGTCAATAGAATGTTCATATAAACTTTTCATATATTGGCTTTGAAAAAATATTTAATACCTTCGTATTTTTGTATTGAGATAGGTAATAAAATAGTTTTTACATTTAGTATTATTTTACAAGAAGGGCATTTTATTTTAAAGATTGTATGACATTTGAAAACTGTCAACTAAGTTAAAACTAACTGCAGCCCGTGACTAAAAACGCCATGAACCACAACTTGTCAATGTGTATTTAAAAGATCACTTATTGTCATGGAAACATGTACGATAATGGGCGTTTTAAAGGTAGGAGTAAAAAAAATAGTTATTAAAATTAATAAAAACAAATATAGGTTAACACGATTATGCTTAAATCATCATCTACATGTTCCTAAGACATCCACTAAATTTGGGTTGTTCTTATAAATAAAAATTGTATACTGTTCTCGTGTTTTAATGTTTAATGTGACCTTCATTTTCCTTATTATGTTAACAACTTACCTTAATATTATTTAATAAAATATTTATAAATTTAAATTGTTTATTGTATTTTACCCCTTCCATTCGCCATTAAAAACACTAAATAGTGTAAATAAAAAATAAGTTACATCAAATATATTTAAACACTTAATAATTATTAATGGAATATTTAATCTTTTTTTTTTGTTAATATCTTATTATCATACAGTAGATTTAACACTAAAATGTGTAAATTTGCCCCTGGATTAGTAAACATTTAAATTTATTTAGACGGATTTAGTGTTAAACTGACCTTTTTTTGGTGTTGAAATAGTATAATAACTAGAGTTTAAATACCAAGATTTAGAGTAATTTTAGCATTTCGATGTTTATTTAAAATAACACTATTTTTAGTACAAGTTACACTGCAATACACACTAGTTTTAGTATAAATATTCAACTTTAAATAGGCTGGTATATGGGCGAATTTTCGTTAAATGTACATTTTGTAGATATAAACTACTCAAAACGAATTAAGGACCACTTTTAAACTTGTTTATAACTTTTAATCAAAAACTTTTTTTTACATTCTGTAACTGCTTTTAATTCTGAAAAACATTTGGGTTTTAAATGGAGAATATATTTTATAAATCAAATAAAAAATAAACGCTTGGAAAATAAAACTGTAATTTTTCACAAATGTTTTTTTTTTAAATAAACTATAAATAATATTTTCAACAAAATTAGTAATGTGTGTGTCCTCCTCTGGCTAGCCGAACTTCTTTACATCGTCTAGGCATCGATTCCACTAAATTTCTGATTACTTCTCTGGGAATATTGTTCCATTCCTCTTGAAGCATTTCTCCAAGCTGTTCCAAATTTTCTGGTGCCGGACGATCCCTTATCCTTCTCTGAAGAACATCCCAGAGATGCTCAATAGGATTTAGATCCGGGGAGTTTGCGGACCACTCTAAAACCTCGATATTATTCTCCTCAAGATATTGTGTAACAATACGAGCAGTGTGGGGCCTCGCATTGTCATGCTGTAGAATAAACTGTGGACCTTCTTCTGCGGCAAATGGGACTATATAGGGTTCTACAATATCTTCCAAATACCTATGAGCATTTACCACACCATCCCTACAGATATGCAAACCTGTACGCCCCGTTAAAGTTATACCTCCCCAGACCATAAGTGAGCCACCTCCAAAGTGAACAGTTTCTGTTACAGTTGAATCTAAATAACGCTCACCTCTACGCCTCCATGCTCGTACACGTGCATCGTTGTGGCTTAGTCGAAATCTAGACTCATCTGAAAAGAGCACGTGTCCCCACTGATCCATATCCCAATTGATATGATTTCGAGAAAAAGTTAATCGAGCTCTTCGGTGCGCACGGGTTAACTGGGGCCTAACAGCTTGGACTCTGGAACGTAGATGGGCTTCATGAAGTCTATTTCTAACTATCTAAGTGGATATTCGCCTTTCGCTGGCGTCAAAATGTAAATCAGCAATGTTTCTTGCTGTTCTGGCTTGGTTTTGGGTGGCTAACCTTACCAAATTACGGTCCTCACGTGGGTTTGTGACTCGTTCTCTTGCCGGATAAGGTCTTCTAGTGAAAAACCAAATTCTCTATGTCTGTTAAGAAGTCTAGAAATTACCGAATGACTTGTTTAAAGTCTTCGGGCAATACTTCTAACCGAATGTCCTTCTTGAAATAAAGTATCCGCTGTCACTACTTCAACCTGATTTAAATGCCTCCTTTGATGAAGAGGCCTTCCTAGAGCATCAACATTCATTTTAATTAATTATTGAACTTATCACAATGCACAACAACGACTAAAATGACTTACAATAAATGTTAAAATGCACTGTTTTTTAAACAAATCGCATTTCTACAAAAAGTTATGAAAACAAAAAATGTTTGTTTACATAAAATAAATTATACATAATATGAGTACAAGCCCATAAAAATATACGAGGGTTGCTTAAAAGTTAAAAAAGATACATGTATTTTAAAAAGTGGTCCTTAATTCGTTTTGAGTAGTTTATATATATATTGTCCAGGCAGGTCAATTTGTTCGATTTTTTTCCCTTTGTGATAGAACAGTGTAATAGACTGCAAAAAAATTCTATAAGTTTATAAATAACAAAAATAACTTTATTTATTTATTTCTTTAGAAATAAAACTTATAGGGTTAATCTGAAATAGGGAAGGAACAAAAGGAAGAAATGAAACATTGTCCTCCTAACGCATCTTCCTGAACGTTTTATGACACATTGCTTTTGACTTTTTTAAACGTTATTTTTCAGAAATACTGTTAAATGTAAATATCTTTCGGCATTTGTTTGGCATTTCTACTATGCCATAATACAAAATGAAAATAAAAAAGTTAACTTCTAAAACAAGAGTTGTATGTAGCGTTTTGTAAAACACACCAAAAAGTGTACGCAAAAAAATCTTACCTTTAAAATATTTACAAAAAAATTCACACACTTTACTCGTGCTCACTTGTTGTTGCCGAACTTTTAAACTGGATGCCCTCTAGAAATAAAATGCTAGTATCTCTATCTCGTGTCTCTATTTCGAAGCAGTCGGCATAGAAGACGACGTTAGGAAAAAGACAAGATTTTTGAATGTCAACTTTAATATTTTTTTCTGTTTAAACTACTTTGTAGAAAACTATATTAGTTTTATATACGAATAAAAGAACTTTCCATTGTTCAAAAATAATTTATTTTTTCAGAAAAAAGCTGCAAAGAAGAAGAATATAATAATTTAAATTAAAAATCGCCTCTGGGGACAGTTAGGTTACAGGACATTTCACCTAGTTTTTCTGCCATATATAAAAACACAAAGTAATTTAAAAAAATACGATGGGTCCTAACAGGAAGGGGGTATTTAAATATAATAAATAAAAAACGTACAAACAAACGTCAAAAATAAAAATAAAATTAGCTGGAGACAGCAAATGTACATTTAACGAAAATTTGCCCATACACCACCTAATTATTGAACTTTAGAGTTAAATAATATTACTTATTTACTCTTTTTTTTAATGTGTGCGCCCTAATCCCATATGCACAATTCATGTTGACTTGTGTTATCTGTAGATGCCTCTATTTATTTCTATGCACTTACTTTTAATGACTAATAAAATCTAAAATATGCATATGTATTTTAGTTGGAGTATGAAGGATTAACAGGTAAAATAAAATTCGACAATAAGGGCTTCAGAACAGATTTTGGTTTGGATATAATCGAATTACATGAAGAAAATGTCGCTAAAGTTGGTACATGGAACAGCTCTGAAGGGTTAAATATCACAAGAACCTATTTATCTGAAAATAAGGTGGACGATGAATCTCTGGTAAACACAACATTTATCGTAAGCACTTGCTTGGTAAGTAATTGTGAAATAAAATTATTTGTAGGGATTAGGAATTTTTTTATTCAGACTGTTGGCAACACTTTTAATTTTCATGTCAACTCGTTTTTCTGGTTTTGTTATATCAAAATTATATTATAAAATCATTTTAAGTTAATTTAAACTATGCCCAGATCTTAGAAGCATCAAAATAAAACAAAATTTTCCGTTTTATTTCGACAAAATATTTACTTACTACCTCGACTCAAAATACGTTGTTTCGTCCCCGATTCCACGGCAGAAAGTTTACGTTTTATGCATTGGTCAAGCTATACGCGCACACTCTAATAGCGGGAGTAAAAATTTTTTAGTCGTGTGCTTAACATTCAAATTTCGTACTGCCAACATGAGAAACACAAAAATATGACAGTTTTAAACCATAATTTTGCAATTATAACAACAAATAAACAATTTATGTTTTTAATTTTTATGTTGTTTTAAGTGTTTAATGGTACTTTTATTTGTTATAAAGTAGTAATTTGTTAATTAAAATACAACCTTTTATTATAATTATTAATTATAATTCACGGCCTACTGTTATTTATTTATCAAGCTCTTCAAATGGAGATAGCAGGGCTGGATGCTCCCGCGGACGAGTTTTGGTTCGCGCCGCGTATGACGTCACCTGATGAGTAGTTGCAGCGCGAATACACGTATAATGCCTATATTATCAAAGAAAATAGACAAATATCTGGACATAGTGCGTTATTTTTAAACTTGATATTGAAAAAAATGTTATAATATGGATGATAGATGATTTGGAAAAATATTTGATACTATTTAAATCTATTTTTTGTTGTAAATTTGATATTAAAAGTATTTTATTAATATGGATGCTAGTAATATTATCAAAACATAAAGAAATATCTGGACATAGTGTGTTTTTTGTAAATTATTATCAATAATACTACTACCACCAACCCCATTATCAGCAATTTCTGGTGGTTCTTCCACCCTATTAATTGATAAATTTAAAAATACACATGAGCAGACTAATAAATGCTTAAAAACTTACGTGTCTCTTGACGCTAGAAGGATATTACTAATAAGTTGAGCCTTTTCCAAGTGTTCTTTGGCCTTTTCCCTTTTTTCACTTAAAAGTTTACGATTGTGTCCACTTGTTGACGGCACAGAAGAAACCTGAGTTCGAGGTAAATTTTGAGTAGGCACAGCATCATCTTTCAGTCCACGATAACGTTTAGGGCTGTAGTTTAAGAGTTTATGTTTTAAATTAAAGTGGTAGTCACTGTCCAGAAAATGTTTAGAGCAAACAGTAGCGCGCTTAACGTTAATTTTGTCTCTTCTTTTCGTTGCATGTAACCACTTTTTGCACAAACTTATGTTTTTCGGAAATCGATGGTATTTAATGTCTTTATTTGTAGGGTTTTTCTTGGACTGGTTGTCCGAAATGCATCCAAATATGGCACAACACAAACTAATACACAAACAAAACAGGTTAACACAAAGCAATAACAATAATTTAAACACTGAAAAGTAATTCTAACCTTACAGAATGCAAAAACAACAAGTTTAACAAAAAAACAGAGCAATTTAACATCTAACGGCTTCGCAAAAACCAGAATTTTAGCGGCAGATAATTAAAACGAACGTTAGAGATTTAAAACTACTCATCAAGTGACGTCATGTGACGTATTTTAGCTCCGCCCACCATGCGCACCATCCTATCTTATGTTGTATGTATCTTGTGGAGATAGGTACATAAATACACATTTAATTTTTTCCCGTATTTTCGGCCGGGTTGTATTTTCGGCCGAGGTAGTAAGAAAAATAGTATACTTCGCCTCAGGCATCATGGCGCGCAGTGCAGGAATCTCACACTTTCTGCCCATGTAGTGTAATATACTATTAATTTTGACATTTTGCTTTACCTCAATTGTGCCAACATAGTAACATAAATTAAACTACCTGGTTTTTATTTATTTAATTATGGTCGAAAGAGACAAAATAGTGTTAATAACTCGTGTTACAATGACTTATTGTGATACTCGTACTATTGTTGCACTCCGATTCGCGTCAAAATAACTCGGTATCACAATAAGGGTCATTGTAACACTAGTTTCACAATATACTATTTAAATAAAAGTCTTAATAAATGACATTTTAAAATTACATGCATGTAAAGCCATCCAAATTATAAACAATATATTTTATTTTTAACAAGAATACAGTGAAAATAATATTTACCAATAACAAAATAAATAGTAAAACGCATTAAATGAACTAAATATTTTATTAAAAAACAGTGAACTTTTATTAACACCTATTTTAGACTGAGCCCTACGGCATGCTAAAATTCTCAGCAGATCAATTGTATGGAAACGATAGATTTGAAGGTTTTGGAATCGATTTGATTCACGAATTATCTTTAATGGAAGGATTCAACTATACCTTTATCATACGTGATGATAAACAAAATGGAAAATACGACCCGGAGTTAAACAAATGGACTGGAATGATTGGAGATGTGATAGACGGAGTTGCTCACCTTGCTATCACCGATATGACTATTACGTCTCAAAGAGCGGAAGTTGTGGATTTTACGACCCCCTTTATGAACTTGGGTAAAATATAGGGCTGTTTACGTCCAATCGGACACCATTTTTTGTTTTTTTTATACTAGGTTTACCACCATTCATAAGACAACATACCAAAATTAAATTATTAGTATTAAAATATTTATACGCTAAACAATACGCTAAAGAAGTATCGCTAGTAGCGCCACCACTCGGTTGTTATCATCGTAACAAAAGTATAATTTTTAATAATCAGCTGTCAAACGCTTATGTTACAAACGAGTGTTTTCGAGAATAAAGCCGGAAAATGTTAAAAAATATCGAAAAAAAAACCGTGGCTCGATTTGTTGTGTGTTGGGTGTATTTCGAGAGGAATCCTGGGTTGAGTTTTTACCGGTTTTCCAATAAATAGTTTTAATCTGAATGAAGTAATAAATTGCATACAGTCTCTGTAAAAATAAATTGTACCTATTATACAATAAATACACATTTTATTAGTGATTAACGGGACAAGTGTAAACATTTCAATTCAGTAAAAATCCTCAAACAAATAAGTCGTCTAATTTAAATAACATTTAGCATTATTAAAAGCGTTGATTAAGAAAGTCTCCACTCAACGGTAAAATACCATTATATATAAAAAACGCACATATTATATTATGTATTATATATAGATATAAATATATAAATATATATATATATATATATATATATATATAAATATATGAATTCATGGCAGCATAATATTATATATAATATTATGCTGCCATGAATTCATAGGTATATTTTGTTGTTTAAAATGCAGTTGTCGGCGTTTTTTTAGAGAACTCAAACATAAAAATGGTTAATTTTAAGGTTATGTTTGTGCAAAAATTATTTTTACTAATTTCTTAAAAATGTCTAAACTTAAATATGAATTATATTAGGTAAAGTTTTCATTAGTTAATTCTGCACCAACAAATGTACTACCGAATAAGATCCTTTGGCAAAACATGAAAATGCAACGATTTAGTTCTTGAATTTTATTTACAATTAAAAACACAATAATTCACCATGATCCCTTTGATAAAATACACACACTAACGTAACTATATAAGCATTTAAGCGTTGAGTTTCTTAATCAATGATATAAGGAATTACCAATCGAAATCGAGTACTAAAAAAGTTTTTTAATTTTTTCCTTGCATCGTAAAGCACAAATAACGTCCGCGATTTAGCTGTGCAAATGAACAAAATTTGTCGAGTAAGACTTTTGCCTTCCTCTCTTTTGTAAAAAAAATTACCTATTTATTTAAAAATGTATAATGTATAATCTGTGCTTTAAATGTATTGTTGACAATTATTAAATTCACGCAATGCATTCGAAGTCCACCAGATGGCGCGCGCGTTGCGAAAACCCGATACTTCTTTAGCGGATACGTCTGTCAACATTGTTAATTTCAGCTCCCTTATAATTTTTACCTTAGAAACCGTTTTAAATATGTCATATTTTAGCTTATGGGTCACACAGCACGCTAATCCACTGATTAGTTTAATGCTTATAACTAAAAAAAAAACTCAAAATAAAAAAAATTATACTTACATTAACTATCGCGCCATTTTTAAGACACCCTAAATTTCAATGTCAAGTCTTAAAAAATTGTATGCCGATTCGACGTAAATCATATCATAGAAGGAATTTATTCTATTTTAAGTAGCACCATGACGGTATTCTTTGAGAATTTTTAAAAACACATTTTTTTATTTAAGTATATCTATAGTTTCATTTCTGAATAAGAACAATTAAAACTTTTTATGTTTTCTTTTATAAATAATCATAAAAATTAAAAATGTTACCTGACCCCCTTTCGATTTTAAATCTAAAAAAGTACATTTAAAATAGAATCATAGGCAAGTTATGTTTAGTTTAAGTGTTTAGGTGTTTTAAAAATATTTAAAATAATATCATTGTTCTATATTATGTTTTTATGATCTTTCACATCAGTTTAAATTAGAAACCTATATGTAAGCTTATACAATTTTCGTAATTTCAGGAATAAGTATCTTATACCAGAAACCTAAAAAAGCTCCTCCAAGTTTCTTCTCCTTCGCCGATCCCTTTGCTTTTACGGTCTGGAAATTATTAGCGGCAGCGTATTTTGGAGTTTCCGTTATTTTATTTATACTAGGACGAATTTGCCCTGATGAATGGACCAATCCCTATCCTTGCATTGAAGAACCTGAATATTTAGTCAACACTTTAAGTTTGGGAAATTGCTTTTGGTTTATTACTGGCAGTATTATGCAGCAAGGTTCTGAAATAGCACCATTGTAAAGTTTTGTTGGCTTCATGCTAAATTTTACCCAACTAAATCATCATTTTTAGGGCAATTTCTACAAGAATGGTCGCAGGTAGTTGGTGGTTTTTTACGTTAATTATGGTATCATCTTACACTGCCAATTTGGCTGCTTTCTTGACCACCGAAAGTCCCGACAGTCAGTTTAACACTGTATATGAACTTGTTAAAAATGCGGAAGATAAAAGAATTAAGTACGGTGCTAAACTTGACGGTGCAACCTTCAATTTCTTTAAGGTTAGTCGATCTTAATTATATTAATAAACAGATTAATTAAAAAAGGGTTCTAAAATAACCTTAAAAGTAGACCGATTAAAAAGGTATTTTTCTTTCTACACTATGATAAAATTGAATTTTTTGTAATTTTTTATAAGGACAAGAAAGTAGGTGATTTTATGGCTAGCCTAACAAAACACATACAAATGACTACTCTCTTAAAATGAATTAGTCAAAAATAACTAATTATAATTATAAGTCATATTTGACTAATTGTCATAGCGAAAAAGCAGTCACTAATAATTAGTCAAATTCCACTGAATGAAATAGTTAAATTAGTAAATTTAAAAAAAGTTTTGACCCAGCCTGGGATTGAACTCACGTCTGTCACTTGAGAAGCTTGTCAACCTAACCTCATAACCAGTCGGCTGTCAGCCGCTCTTATAAAAATAAATTTTATTTGTCAATAAATATTGTTCATAATATTTTAAAATTTAATATATTATTTGTGTTACTGTTTTGAGCTAAACTTTTTGCATCTTTATTTGTTTTATGGGTCATTTAACCATGGAGAGGTATATGCATTTAATTCAAATAATACTTTGTTGTTGGCCGTAAACGATTAAAGAAATTAGTTACTTTTAACTGTCAGAAATAGTCAAAGATGGTGACTCTTAAATTAGTCAAACTTTAACTATTTACGTAGTAAAAAATAACTATTTAAAAGTGAAAACGACTATTTTATTAGTAAAAAATGCTGGTACTAATTCAAATAGTAGAATTTTGACTATTTCATTTTTAGAGAGTAGACTTTTAGATCCATTGATATCTTTTATATATATCATTTCATCGTTAATGATAATTTTAAGCATTATAAGTAAATTGGTCGAGCTTTTACGGATTTATTATTTAATTTAAATTAAATTAACCTTACAAATCTCATTAAAGTAAAAAATGTTGTCAAGTAATATAATAAGTTTTTGTTATGCATTTTTATTTTTTTTTTATTAACCATAATAGTATATTATGTATCAGGTTTGATAAACGCCATTTTATACAAGAATTTAATTTAGGCACGAGCGAGCTTGCGAGCGAGTACTTAAATTAATGAGTAAATAAATAATGTATAGAAAAGTTTATAAACTATACTTTTTCTACGACAAATACTTATTATTATCTTAAAATGATTTAAATCAAAAATTTGTATAGAGCGCCATCTATAAAACAATAGGGGAATCTGTATGTCACCGTCAAATGTCAAATTTTTATATTTTATAAACACAGATTATAAAGGTTAAAAATCTAAATGTATTTCTTGAAAATTGACAGTTTTTCACAGTGAAAGTAAAGAAAATGTTTTATGAGGACTTTACAGTGGAGTCCGTGGCCGAATACAATTTTCAAATATTGGCGTTGAAAAACTATTTAATACTTTTGTATTTTTGTATTGAGATAATAAAATAATTTTCACATTTAGTATTATTTTACAAGAAAGGCACTTTATTTTAACGATTGTATGACATTTGACTGTCAACTAACTTAAAACTAACTTCAGCCCGTGACTAAAGCGCCATAAAGCCACAACTTGTCAACGTGTATTTAAAAGGTCACTTAGTTTCATGGAAGATAAAGAACGTTTTAAAGGTGGGAGTAGAAAAAGTTTTTTAATGATGCTTATCTAACTTAATTTTTACGAAAGACAATTTTTATAAGGTTAATTTAACTAAAATATTGTTAATCTAAACCAAGGTTTACCTATGACTGAACTTAGTTTACTCATATTATTATATATCATTATATTTGCGTGTCTTACTGTTTCCATGGAGACTATACGAATCGCAAATGAGTATCATACCATAATGGTACTGTGCTTATTATGGTAAACAAATAGAAAATAGTATATTATTTAACATTAGCAAACAAAATATAACATCGTGGACCTGTTGAGGGCGGGCTAAATAATTAATTCCCTAATTACCCATTTCTTAACTTTAATCTATGGCATTTCGCCCACGGGCTGGAATTAGATTTAGGTATATTAAAATTGGAAAAAAGTGAGGTTGAAACTGTCTGACAGATGTACATAAAAGTCAGATAAAGTATCATTTTAATTTTATTATTATTCATTATTTCGTCTACCTTTAGTAGCAGGCCCGTACCCAGCCTAACATTTTAGGCGGGGCTAAGGGATTTCTAGGGAAGGTTTAAAATGTTACTTCATTTTTAAATAGGCGTATGAATGTAGTTAAAACATGTTTTGTTACAAGTAAAAAAACAAAAATTTCATAATGTGAATACGCTATATTAGAAAAAAATCATTTATTTAAATTTATTTAAAACAATAAACAATAATATTAATAAAACAAAAACCGGTATAAAATTAAAACTGAACTTTTTTGGTCGTTAAACATCATGATTGTAATGTAAATGTATTGGTTCTTTTATGTTCAAATGACAAAAATGTAAGGGTGGTTATGATGCAGCAGGGATCTTCTTTAGTCAATCGGTCAATTATTTTTAATAGGTACAAAATAATTTACAAAGTGCTGTAGGTACCGCAGACAGAAGTTGTATTTTCTGTTCTTAAATTTTTTGTATGAGGGACTTGTTACATATTTATTTCGTGTGTTGAATTATTTAACTTGAATAATATACTATTTATTATTGCTGTATTCAATCCAATATAATGAATTAATTCCTAATAATAATTAAAATATTATCAGTAGACATAAAATTTTAATTATCATGTCTGACAAATTGTCAGTGACAATTATAAACATTTTTACTGCACCTTTAATTAATTTTTAGAATGCAACCAATAACGAGGTCTATCAACAAATTTATGCGTACATGGAGGATCATAAAAGTGAAGTTATGGTTTTGGATAATAAGGATGGCGTGGCGAAGGCTAATGAAGAAAAATACGCGTTTTTTATGGAATCGGTTTCGATTGAGTATGAAACTCAGAGAAAGTGCGAACTTAATCAAGTTGGAAATTTGCTTGACGAAAAGGGTTATGGGATAGCAATGAAAAAAAGTAATTTATTTTATTTAAACGTCAACAATAGTACATTACATATTGAGTGGCGAAAGGCGACGATTTATGAGGACTGTGTTGCCACACTTGCATCGGAAATCGACTTTCGCGGTGAATAAAAATTCAGCCGTAAAGACAACTAAAGAAGTTAACTTTTGCGATTACATACAGCAGATTTTTTTGTGGCGAAAAAAATTAGCTGTAGATGCGAAAGTTGAGTCGTCTGCTTTCACCAGTAAAGGCAGCATTCAAATACCGATGCGAGTTTGGGAACTCACTCTTTAGAAATGTCGGATATTAAAATTTAAAAAACAAGCCAAGACACCCTATATATTTTATATAAACATTCATAAAACGTATTAGAAGTAGAAAGTAAGGTTAAAACAGACTGACCGCCCAAGTAGCATTTTTAGTGGATGAAACGTATCGGCTACTTATACTTGGAACTGTAAGTGTGTTGCCAAAATTTCTGCCACGTGATAGAAACGGTTCTATTACGTAGAAGTGACTATAATGTGTAACACTTTTTAGTGTCAGTTACGTTCCAAAAACGTTCTTGAATTGTATACAGACCCATTTATACCACGTTGAGTTTACGTTACTATAACGTGGAGCAGTGGAGGCTGGTGGATTTTGGGTATACCAATATTTCAGTTATTAGACATGGGACCCACACCAAATGTATAATAGTTTATAATGACATTAAATGGACAAGTTCGGCGCGAACAGAATTTAAATTGAAGTTTGCGAAAAAAAGTTAGTTTTTCCTGTCGCCTCACCCGCCTCCAGGCCTTCCTTTTTAAGATAATTCAAATTAAAGTGGTGCAATTTATTCTCTACTATAATTTATCGACAAATTAAAAATTTTATTTAAAAAATCCAAATATTACAGGTTTTATACAATTTTGAATATTTTTTTATTTTAATATATCAGAGGCAAACATGTCCAACTAACCAATCACAGTTCTCGATCCAATCACGTGACATCGAGATGGCATACCTAATTTGCGACGTTAAATAATTTCGCGCCTTACTTACAGATTTTTCGTTTTTCGATTCGTTCTCTTTTCAACAAATTTTAAAGCTTCTGTCAACTTTGTAATGTATTTACTTTGTACTTTTTAGCAAATCACAATTTTGCCCTGAGGGTAGGACTGATCAAAAACAAATAACCCAAGTGCAATTTGGTCATAAACAAATATGTTCATTCTTTCTAATTTTTAAAAGTATTTTGATCTCGATGGCTTATTTAGGAGTGCTTGCATTTAATGCTCATAATTTAAAAACAGTTTTTTCGCTCTTCTTAAATATCTGTTCAAAGAGACAATTTTGACATTAAGAATATGAAAATACGAATTATTAGGATTATAAAACGTTCGTGTAATTGGTTGTATTAAAAACTAGTTTAGATTTATCTCATTTTAACCTTTAATTGTCAAATTGGGATAAATCTTGAACTTGAAGAAAATATAATGAATTGAGTTGGATATTATGAAGCATAAAGTGGTTTTGGTCCTGAAAATTAAACATTTATAATATTATATAATAAAAATTATAAACTCGTATAACTCGTATTGTACAAAAAATAATAAAGCATGTAGCAAGAACGTGGCAATGACCACCGCAATTATAAAATTAAGTTTTGCCACTTTCAAGGTTTGGGAAAAGTTTCGAAAATGTTGTCAAAACTGGTATACACACTTTACTACTACTACCACTTTCAAGTAATACTTAAGTGATGAGGTTTGGTTGCCGTTACTATTCATAATCCACATAAAAGTTTAGACAACTTTAAGTATATTCTGCTGGTGCAAATCACATGTTTACCTACAACTATGCTAATAAAATATGAAAATATTTTAACTGTATCGTGGTAGATTTAGTTATTTTAACGTAATTGCCACTCATTTGAAGTTGCGATATCAGTTTACGTTATAATGCTACTTGGGCGAAGTCATATTTTATGAGTATACAAGGGGCGAGAAAGTTTCTCCAAATCTAAAACCCGATGTTGTTAATAAGACAACTAGGTATACCTACTTAATTATATATTTTAGATTCTCCATATAGAAATCCTCTTAGTAAAGCCATATTGAGATTACAAGAAACGGGTAAATTAGCAGCTTTAAAACGAAAATGGTGGGAAGAGAGAAGAGGCGGAGGACAATGTGCTGTAAGTAAAATTTACAAATAATATAAATAAAAATACCCGGTAATTTTAAGAATTTTAATTTGTAATAGTTAAAATACGTTTTCGTCAGTTGGTGCAAAAAAAGTCCCAACTTAAGAAACCCTTATATTCAGTATAACTTGTTTAAGTTGGTTTTATACATATTCATTGGCTATCATTTGAAATTTAATCTTAGTGATCGATATCGCGATAGACAATAATAAAGAAAAATAATGTTTTTAAATTAAAAAGTGATTAATACAAAATTAAAATTTCCCTTTAATTATCCAGACCCTTAAGTAGCACAACTCGTTAAATGAACGTTATGCTTGCTTAATTCATTTAAGTAAAATTGTAGTAAGTATAACATTAAATTAACCTTATTTTGTAGTAAGTAGGGAATTAAATTATAGTTAGATTAACGTTATGTTAAGTAAATTTAACTTTTTGGTTAATTTACCTTAAAATTTAATTAATATTTGGTAATTTTGGGTTTCTTTTATCCCAAGTAGCATTTATAGTGGTTAAAACGTGTTGGCCACTTATACTTGGAACTGTAAAGTATATTGCCAAAATCTCTGCCACGTGGTAGAAACGGTTCTATTACGTAGAAGTGACTAAAATGGGGAACACTTTTTTAGTGTCAGTTACGTTCCAACAACGTTCTTGAATTGTATACAGACACGTTAATACTACGTTGTGATTACGTTACTAAAACGTGGAGGTATAGTGGCCAAAACTTAATCGTAACTTTACTAATCTTTACTTTCTATCCGCGTCTCTTTCCAGCATATTATTTATCCTATTATCTTTTCTTTCTCTGGCGGGATATTAAACTCACACTGAATTATAATATTGTAAGAGTACAACATGCAAATAATTACTAGAATTGAAATAAAAATAATCCGAAGACATAAAATTAACACGAATTAAATTTTACTGTTAAACATGGGTATCATAGCTTGAAATATAAGCACGCCCTGTTGAAATATGTGGTAATAAAAAAGAATTACAAAATCTATAAACTTGGCGGATATGAAAATTATTTATCTAGAGGCCTAAAATAATTTTTAACTTTAAAGTGGTAATTTTATACGAAACGTGGAAATCACATGTAGCAAGAACGTGGCAATCACCGCCGCAATTATATAATCAAGTTTTGCCACATTCAAGGTTTGGGAAAAGTTCCGAAAACATTGCCAAAACTGATATGTGATGTGATTTGGTTACAGTTACTAATCATAATCCACTCTAAAGTTTAGACAACTTTAAGGTGGTGTCAAAAGTGGTCATAACATTTCAGATACCAGACTAATACACCAAAAAGTTATAAAACTATAAAGTATATTCTGCTGGTGCAAATCACATGATGTGGAGATATTTTAACTGTATCGTGGTAGATTTAGATATTTAAACGTTATTGCCACTCATTTGAAGTGGTGATATTAGTTTTCGTGACTATAATGCTACTTGGGATTCTTTTTAACTACTTTCTTAACTCTTTAGTTTTAAAATTAGGTATAGAAATTAACCAGCTTAATCTATAAATGAATTAGTCAAAAATGACTAGTTGTCATAGTACAGCAATTTGCATCCCGGACATTTAACAGCCAATTCATATGTAAAATTTTCAGCTGAATCCGAAAATACCGATAAAAGTTATGAAAGTAGTAAAATTAAATTAAATGTTAATATTTTATTAAAGGGTGAAGACGACAGTTCCGAAGCAACACCTTTGAACCTGAAGAACGTGGAGGGAGTATTTTGGGTGTCAATAGGAGGAACTGTGATAGCCTGCATCCTGGTGTTCATCGAATTCACCTCCCACATAACAAAAGAATGCGTGAAAACCAAAACGCCATTTAGAGTGGCTTTCATGAAGGAGCTTAAGTTTTATTTCACATTTTCTGGGATGGTGAAACCGGTGGTTTACAATTCGGAAAAAGACAGCGTCAGTAGAAAATCTGATGAAGCCGTACTAGAAAATTGCGTGGCAAAAGGAGAAAGTACAGAAACATTAAAAAGTAAATCCATTAAGTCTAATAATAAATCAAAATCATACAAGAAACAAGACAGCTCCAAAACATATTAATTAATGAAAGTAATAATGTAAAAATGTAATGTTATGCTTTTTACAACTGTTCTTGTAGATAATAAAAACGTATTGGAAAATGAATGAACATTTTTTATGATCACATATGTTTGGGAAGGTTTATAGGTAATTATAAAACTCGTTAAAACAAACAAGTATTTTTATTATCTTAAAATACAAGAAATTTTGTTGCGAACAAAATTTGATGGCTTAACATAAATCATAAAATGTAAATGTAAAAAAGTATATAGGTGCATGGGTCATCCTGGAGAAGTAAAATAAAAGAACCTTATGATTTTATGTTTCCAACATGATATTAAATATTATTAAAATATAAATTATTATTGGTTTCTAAGAAAATAATAAAGATTTTTGAAAAAGTTAATTCAAAAATTGCATATACTAACTATGTTAAACTGCTACCTATTCCATAATATCTCAAGTTGAATAGATACATACTTCGACAACAAAGCATACTTTAGAACGCGAAGGTTAGTTCCAAATTTCGTTTTTAGATGGCGCTCTAAGATGTTTCTACCCATACTTGCACTGTGAAAGTACGTATGTGTTTTTCTATATAATTATCCAATTTAAAACTGTATTTAAATAAATTAGTTAACTGATGTTAAATTAACTATAAATAAAAGTAGTCATATTTATCGTTTTATTAGCAAATACAGGGTGTCCCATAATTAGCATGCAATTCTTTAACAGCAGATACTTACTAAGTAAAAAAATAAGAAAAAAAGTTTCCATAAACATAGGCCGAGAAATGCTCTCTAAGGGAGCTACAGCCCCTGAAATAGGAGCCTTTGAAGATGGTTTTGATTTATTATCTTCAAAACCGTTCAAGATAGAAAAGTAAAATTTTGGGAGTTGATCAAACTTTTTATGGCCAATAAGATTTAATAATAACAATTTCAAAATTTCCATGAGGGTTGGGTCAGATAGATAGGGAGTAGGGGTTAAAACCACCCTAACTTTTATGTACGTGTCTAGTGCTAGAATTTGATCAGATTATAAAATTTCGGAGATTTACACACAAAAAAGTTCCTCTTGTTAAACTTTGATATTATCCACTGATTTCGCTTTAAATCGATTTAAAAATAACCTTACATGGCATAAAAGATCATAATGAAATCACAAGAGAAAAAGCATCAGCGTAGGCCATGGAACACGGCTGCCATCTGGAAAAATTATTCAAAACACGTGACAGTTTTATGTAATAAGTAACAGGGTATTTAAAAATTGTCCATTGCCATGTTTAAACATTGGCCATAGCCTACGCTGATTCTTTTTCTCAAGTTGTGATTTCTTTATGAATTTTTATGCCATGTCAGGTAAATTTTAAATCGATTTTAAGCAAAAACGGTGCATGCTATATAAGTTCATCAAAAGGACCTTTTTTGTATGTAAAACTACGAAATTTTATGATTTGATATCAAATCATAGCACAATATGCGTACAAAGAAGTTAGGGTGGTTTTACCCCTACTTCCTATCTATATGACCCACCCCTTATGAAAATTTTATATTTGTTATCATTTCATCTTATTGGCCATAAAAAGTTTAATTATATCCTAAAATTTTCAGGGGCTCTTCTTTCGGTCATTTCAGTCATAATTTTGTACTCAATTGGAAAAAGTTTTCATATGAAATCATTATTACAATTTATTTTTTAATGTGTAGGTAAAAATATCAGTATGTAAGTAAACCATAGAATATTTAAAAAAAAATTCAACTTTTAAAATATTTTGACTACCTTTAACTTAAGGCTTTTACTTCTTGACTTAACGCTACTTACTATCCCGGTGCATTCACCAAAAACTACCAAATTAATTAGTTTAAAAATTGCTTTTAATTTAATTGCAAATAAAATATTTTTTTAATTTTAGTAAATTACCATAAAGAAGTAAATGTTAATAAACATATAGAAAAGATATTTAACTAAACCTTTAAACATTTTCAGTTTGTTTTGTTTCTATTGCTTACAGATATAAATGTTTTAGGTTTATAAACCTTATAAATAATACCTACAATAATATATTATACAGGAAAAGTATACTAAATTTGTTTAATTGCATTCCCTGAAAATAGTTATTACGACCAAAAAAATATTTATTAATAAATATTCGCATAAATTAGGTTTTTACTTTTACTAACAATTTCAATATTTAACAAATTAATGGTAGTAATAAAATTATAGTTCATTATAGTTTTTAGCCCCGTCTACCTTTAAAAAATAAATATTTCTCATTTTCATATCCAAAAGAAATAAAAAACAATAACTCAAGAGCATTTTTTTAGATTAATATAAATATTATATTAAGATTAATATTGAAAATAATATAATAATAATTTTAATCTTAAAAAAATACCTCTTAAGATATTTTTTTAAATTTCTTCTATGGAGGATTTTAAATAACAATTTTAACTTGGAATACTAAACAATATCCGAAAAATACATATATTTATTTATAAAATATTTTACTGGAAATATTGAAAAACAACCTAAAAATATATTGTTTAATGATATTTGTTAAACCTATGAGCAAATCCTATACGCACGGCCCTGTCAAACTAGTTATGTCGGCCATTATAAAAACAAAAGATGGTAATGGTAACTAAAATTATAGTAGCAAATAAATTGAGTAAAAATGTATCACATAGGCCAAAAGATTTTTGAACCGTGAAAAAATGTCTCTTTCGAAACACTCAATAGAGTGCACTTTGGTCAAATATAAAATACAATTTTGTTTTTTTTAATTGTTTTAATAATTTTTGTAATTGGTAATTTTTTATTATTACTATTAATATTTATAGTATTATATGCTTTATTATTAATTAACATCATGAAAATTTAAAAAAATTTAATCCAGAAAATATATACCTAAATATAGAATTATTATTGCTTAAGAAACAACAAAAATAGTATTTATCTATTACGATATTAAGAAACTTGACAAAATCCATTTAGAACCAGACTGCGCATTGGTATATATTTTTTAGTTTTTACACCTTTAGCCATCTCGTCATTAGTTTATGCTTTCCGTTTTTCTGAAATCATTCTGAAAATATATTTAACACATAGAATTTGGTGGTAAAAATCCAACTAATTCATATTTCAAATTTCAGACTGTTTTTTCTTTTAGTATTTTGCATATAAGCAATAATGTGTGCTGAAAATGTAAAAACAACATGCTAAACATCTATTAAAATAATTTTTAACTTACTAAAGAAAAATACCTCTTGAGAAATTGTCTATCGCCAGAAAATAAAACACATAAGTATGACACAACGGCAACGCATGAAATAAGTGTGATAGAGATAGACTATAACCTTTTTTGCGTTTTCAACTATTTGTTTTAAAAGAATGTGACCAGTATTTCTTTATTTGGTCACTTACACAGTAAAAATATTTGTTAATTTTAATCAGATTTTATGTTAATCCAGGTATAACTTTATGTTAAGTTTACAACCAGCTGTAATCTGTTAACTAATTCAAGAAGTAGTTTGTAGATTTGATAATGTCAAAAATTTAACCATTATTCTTGTAGTTTTAAATAATAAATAAATAATAATAAATAAAAAGTTTGGACGGGACAAAACAAATATTTATCTTTTATAAATAATATCTTGCGTTTTTTATTTAATGTATAGTTAGCCTAATATAATATATATAATAAATAATAAATTACCTACCTACAATTTTTTTATGAATTTTTTTGTGATTTGTCCCGTCCGGACGGACTCGTCCGTATGCTTGAAATGGCCGCTTATTTTTACAAACCTTTTTGAAGACCCAGTAACAAAAGTATTTGTTGGAATTGGGATCTCAAATAAAAAGAATTTAGATAAGATATGTTGCTTTATTAATCAATTTCCTAAACAAAAAAATTAACACATACCTACATAAATGAACACAAAAATACCATACACACGATTAAATAAAAAACCGTTCTGAAATCATTAAATTATGTATAAATATATTTCGTAACTTTAACTCACTTCACTGTATCCCCTAATTTCAGTTTAAAAACCAGTGATGGATACTTCGCACTTCGCGCACTCGTAAATAGGTATAAGGAATCCGAATAACAATAATAACAGATTTATGTTAATATATTATAAACACGAACAGTTGTTACGATTTCGTTACGAATTAGAATAAAGTGAGCAGAAACATAAGTTGCAGACGCTGAAGTCAGCTGAACTTGTTGATGCGTATTGTCAGTGGGAAATGTTTTGATTGGCTGCCTGAAATCACGTGTACTTTTTCAGCGAAAAAATTTACAAACCCTGGTTTTATAAAAAAAATTATGTTAAAATTTTACGAAATAAAACTACAAACTCATGTCAACAAATCTATTTTTATAACAGTGTGGTAGTCAATTTAAGTAGATATTATAACCGATGTATGGCCAAAACAAATATGTATCATGCCATACTAAATCGCCCCGCTTTATATTTTTTGAGTTAATTGTATCGTTTTACATTAAAGATTTTTTAAATGTAAAACATAATCTGTCCTCCTAAGGTTTGCGTTTTCCTATATTAAACTTATAAAATTAAAACTATTTTTTTGTAATTTAAATGTTATTTTTGATTAAAATTTTTAATTAGCAGAAAATAATGTCATGGCAAGTTATAAAAGTTGGATGAAAAAATTAGTGATTCAAAAGCAATTAGAGTGGAAATGAAAAGGAGTAAGGAGGAAAAGTTAATTTGGGGAATTGGCTGCAAAGCGACGCGCGCGGTATAAGTAATTTATTTAGGAAAAACAACGTCGAGGCGAAGAGAGATATAGATAATAAAATAATAAAGAAATGTGGAAAGTCAGGTAAAACGCGACGACAAATAGATCAAACTCCGGGCGATCCGCAATTGAGTAGAAAGCTTTGGTAATGATCTCTTCTGAGCCCTGGATGAGGCA